CTGTGCCCCCACATTCAATGTTTTAAGGTGTCAAGAGGGTAGCTAAATGTTAGGCACCCGCTCGTCACGCCTAACACCCGGGTTCGATTCCCAAAATGAGTACAATGTGTAATGCGCATACTTTGTGTTGCCATCGTGACATGGCTGAAGACAATGTATTGCCCAAGTGGTGTAGAACGCGACTCACTGAGGATGTGAGGATAAATGTGAAGTACGGTCAATTCCCAATGATCATGGGCCCCTTGGCCATATATTTCTTAAATTTCACAGGTAATACGATCACTGCCACGGTCTTTCCAACATCTGTATCGAGCTGCTGCTGACGGTTTTATCGTGAGGTAGGATAAGGTGTCCTTGGTTTATATGTATCAAGTAAAATCGAGGCACGTCTCTTTTAATGGTGGTCTGCTGGTCCCTTTCTTGATTTGAATAATAATAATAATCATCATCATCGTCATAATTATCATAATAATAATAATAATAGGCTATTTATATTGCGCATTTTTCCACACCACTCAGGGACATGCTCAAAGCGCTATCATTACCCCGCCCACTGGATCACTGTGCACTCAAGAATCATTCTCAGCTCCCTGGGGAGTATACAACCCAAGCTGCCTTTTAAGCGTTAGAAGGTTAACAACCACATTTCCACCTCATATGTGAATGAATTGCAACTTCAAAGAATAAATTAAAAGCCAATATAAAATGTATTTCACATTGTCATTTATAAAACCAAATATGCACTTCCCTCATGAAGTCGATGCATATTGACAATTCCTAAATCTTGTGTTCAGTAATGCCTATTTAGAGAGAAATAAGACACAATATGTTAGTTGTTGATTATGTTATAATATCCATCCATCCATCCATCCATCCCCCCCCCCCCCCCCCCCCCACACACACACACTAAACTATTCGTCTTAATGTTGTGGACAGTGCCAGCATTCCAAGAGCATTGTGTGGGGACAAGCCGCAGAAACAATGCTGATAACAGTCAGCAGAGATGGGGCTACCACAGCCGTTCTCAACGACACTCGCAGTCGGCCGTTAAGTATTTAGTTCAATCGGAAATTCCGAAGATGGTAAAATTAGGCAATGGCTGTATACAGACATAGGCACATATGGTTCCTGTGCCTCCCTGGATGAAGTCCCCCACATATTGCTGACCACGCCTTCGATATCTCCATTTACGACAAGGGAGCATCTGTGCCCTTCGGAAATTCTGCCTCTAAACATAAATCGTTGGGAACGCCACAGATAAATCTTCAACGGCAACAGGCAATACCCAATCGGCAATACTCCAGACCAAAATAATTCCCAGGAAGCAAGGACGTCATCAGTTGTGACCGCTTCAGGTGTCTCCTCCCAGAAGTCAGTGCGACGCTTTAGTGCAGTTAAGCCACATATATTTGCCTCACCTAGAGCAAACTACACATATAATCCGAAAACACATAATCCTTTTATTGCATTGTATTATAGTCCGTCAGTGTACACATATAAAATATTGTTACTATGAGTCTTTTACTGTCTCGTAGGCCATTTTGGCCGGCCGCTGAATTTTTACATTCTGGCCTTGTCATTTTATATGTACAGCGGGTGACACCACAATAAAATATTCTTCTTCTTCTTCTTCTTCTTCATTTTCTTCTTCTTCTTCTTCTTCTATAAAACCAAGCGAGTTGCTTAATGATAGTGGTGTGTATTGCAGTAATGATTCATGTATTGCGATACGTACCACAATATATGGCATGTGTTCTTTCATCTGTGATTAGGTATGAACCTGAATAAAAAAAAAACCCGCATGTTTTTGACAACTTCGTATTGTGTGGAATGTTGCTATGGTTACAAAGCATTATATGTATATGGGGTGGGATCGGTTGGTTATGTTGCCTTGACGTTAAAGTGATGGAGTCCTGGAACCGCAAGGTCGATGGCTGCAGCAATAACTTTCCACACGAGTCACATTCCCCGGGACCAGTGAGTCGTTCTTCAGCTAGATCCATGTCCAGGACACATGGCCCTTATCAACTGTAATGCTTATCTTACGTTGGGGGTAACGGAGCGGATAAGACCCATATGTGTGACCATTTCGTGATATCAGCCATACTACAGTAAAACCCCCTTAACCCGAACATCTGACCGTCGAATCAATTATATCGAGTTATCCGATATTCGAGACAAACGATAGGGGTGCTCTCCGTATGATAAAGTAACATCTATTTTATGGCTGTTTTAAATTACTGTCCTGGCTGATGAATGATATTATTTTGTTAATCATAGTGATTTGAATGATGAAGAAGTAGATTGATACAACAGAACGTTTTTCATGCATATCAAATAGTCACATTTTTGTTCTTTCAATGAAAGTGTCTACTAATATCATATATTTACTTTTCACTGCAACAACATCCTAGGTTATTACGGCCGCAGCATCATGTGGGATTATTTCTGGTATTTTTAAGTGAAGTCTTATGAAATCCATTGGCGTGATAAAAATTCTAGATATTGCGGGTTCAGTTTAAAAGGAGGATCTGTCGTGATCAACTTGACCTAAAAGCTGGGCGACGAGATTGGGGATCAAGCCCGACTTACGCTAATGTGTCGCTCTTGATTGTACAAGTACCGCATGCTGTTTGACGTGACCCGAGTGTGTTTGAAGGATCAATGGCCATTAAAGATTGGTTTTCTGGTCAAGATAAGGGGAAATACAAGCAAGTAATGCGATAATCAGGATAATTGCTGGTGCCGGCACTAGCGTATATTGCCCAGCTGGCGAGACGGATCAGCAAGCGGGACCTTTCTCGGCGCAGCCCGCAAAACACATGCTAATTAGCACCATGTAACAAGATTAGGCTATAATTAATATAAACTATGTGGACATTTTGTTATCGGGAAGTGCTTAGAGCACAAGCGGCATTCGGCGAGCTGTTGATTTTGAAACAATGAATAAATGTATTTGTGATACGGACACATTATTTTAACTAAGAACATGGCATGTATATATAAATTTAATAATTTAGTAGTCACAGAGGGTAGATCTAATTTGTATAATGAAGAGTATGTTTAAAAGCGACACGGTATGAAAACTACATGATCACTTATCAGCAATTAGCTTAGAGTAATACATCGTACAATTACCGTGTTAGGTTTCACGAGTTGATAAAAGACTGATGTTATTACTCATTGTAACCCCTCGCGCCATCATAGAATTGGATGTTTGAGGTTCGCAGTTCTAACAGGCCCGGTTGCACTGGTTGAGAGTGTTTTTTATTTCTGGTGCATATGTTTGTGTACATTTCTCAAACATCTTTTGGGGGATTACTTTTAGAACGTCATTAACATGTTCACTGGCACAGTGTTTATAGTGTGGGAATATTTCAACCATGATAGAGATTCTGTGAAGATAATTCAGCTGATGCCGCAACTCCAAGACAAAGTCTAAAGGGGGCAATTGGCGCCCCCAAATCGGCAATCCTAGCAAGTTTCATACAACATTATTTGTCTGCTTAGTTAACTTGGGGAACGGTAACCAAGTCGTCTTAGCCGCTTCAATTCGCTGCGCAGAGTTGCGTCCCTTGGGTACGCCAGGAACCTATGTTCTTGAATTCGATTCCCGGTTCTCCCAGATTATGTTTCTAGTTTGTCAGCACCATACTCGTGCTCGTGGGTTTCACCAAAGTGGTAAACGTCCAAGACATGTAAGATCTGCATCACTTTGGGCTTTCCTCCCATATCAAACTGACACGCCTTGATCTGACTGGAATACTGCTAAAAGCGGCGTTAAACCAAACTCACTCACTTAGTCTAATGATAACCCAAGTAACACAGAGACAATGTCTCACACTATAGTCTCTACAGGTAGAGAGGAGATGGGCACCAAATCGTTGAACAATGCCCCCCTTTAACTAGACTAATATTAAGTCTCTGAAATCTTATATTACACAATATCCTTCTTGACTCGAAAAATAAAAATAATTCCCTATGCTGATTTCAGAATAGAGCTAGCTTGAGCTGGCTAGACTTGCTTTTGTATGCATTTCTAGATTATTTTTTTTTTCATAAAATAAATATATTCCACGGTCATGGTGCAGGACTACCCTTTAACGTTCGCGGACTACAGTTATGGTCTACCATGGGTAGTTTCAGAGTCTTGTTCCACTCTCGTCATTTGCTGCACGTATCTCAACTCAATATTAAATACTCTGTAGGGGTTACGATCGGCATAGTTACGATGGTTTTGTGATGCGAGGCCCTCCATGGGCACACAAACATAATTGAATACTAACATATACTCTATGAAATCTTGTATTACACAAAACAATTCTCTCCTCTATTTTTTTCCCGATGCTGATTTGTTTTTTTCATTATCTAGACTGGTTTTAGTTTCACAAACAACTGTATATATTCCACAGTCATGGTGCACAACAAACACCATCGCTGTTCCAACTCGGACAGAGCGGACATTTCTGTGGTAGGCGAACATTAACGGAGATCTCAACTTGAACAAATTCGCAGTCCCATCAAATATAATTCAACTCCTTCAAAACACACTATGGAAGTCTAACATGTTCTGATGCATATGATCAGACAGGTAAATACCCACGTTACACAGACAATGTTTCGGTCTTAGAAAGACCCTTATTACAATGTCTGTACCTAATCTTGAAGTGTGTTCCAGGCCATTGACCATTCTCCCTCCTTGAAGCGACGAACAAATCAATTCACTGACTCCATTCCTTTGGTTCTCTTTACCCCAATAATGGTATAATCCAATTTATTATGAAACGGGGGCGTTCGGGTAGCCTAGTGGTTAAAGCGTTCGCTTGTCACACCGAAGACCCGGGTTCGATCCCCGACATGGGTACAATGTGTGAAGCCCATTTCTGGTGTCCCCCGCCGTGATATTGCTGGAATATTGCTAAAAGCGGCGTAAAACCATACTCACTCTACTATCAAGAAACAACCCATGGTTTGGGCATCAATGAACACAAAAGTCAAAGTGTATGTTCGCCCTTAACGAGCGTAATACTTTATCTGGTCACAGTAACATTTGAACATAAACATAACAAAAGAATGATATACATAAAATAACATTTGGAGAAAAAAAACATACTCATGATAAACTGACCACTGATGCAGATGCTCGCCCTTGCGGCGTTCCGAAGGTAGAGCTGATATTTCACAGACCATAAACGCCAGAACAGAAAAAAGCATAGAACAATTTGATATGCGACTCGCAAAACCACTTCACACAGGTTTCACATATCTTCTGCCTTTAATCTGCATTCGAGAGGAAATGGAACAAATTTCTTGTTTTTATCAAAGATCTTTGAATATGGAACAGGAAAGCTAGAGCTTTTTCAATGGGACTCATTAAATTCAACCAGAGCTCCTTTGAAGTCTTACTTAGGCCTAGCTGACAATCTGGCTCCCGCCCTGTCTCAATCTTGAACATTTGGAGACCTGTCCTTTTGCACTGTCACATGTTCTTATAATAGGGCCCTTATTCTGTATAACATTGCATGGATATTTCAAGTAATTTAATACAAAAAAACAAACGCGGACTCCAAAGGGTTTGGTGATGAAGTGGTTTGAAAGTGCATAAATGCATATTGACATTCGAAACTCCCACAAACTGAGAGTAATTTTTAAAGATGTAATAGTATTGCTCTTGGCAGTTTAAACACCTTGATGCATATTTCTGATGACAAAATTAAATTGAACACGTTGCTTATTTGCCGTGTACGTTTCTTCTCCTTATCTGCAAAATATCAGCTCATCTCTACGATGAGTAATGAGAGACTAAGTTACAATAGCGCCATGGTCGTGAGGCGGTGGTAATTCGCATGGACAGGAATCGGGATTTTAACAGGCAGTGTTGAAACAAACTGAGAGTGTTAAAAATCGATGTTGAGCAGAGATATGGAGCTGGTGGAATAATTTGAACATGGATGTCAAGGATTTGTAGTCCAATCTGGTAAAAACTATCTTTAACAATAATTCAAATACGACAATGATCGTCCAAAATAACTACATTGATATTCACAATCCTCCTATTAACGAAGACGGTGAAAACATTTAATAACCAAAATAATGTGATTAAGAAATACAACACTTGTTATTCGCTACGTACATTTCCTATTTCGTAAATTCCAGATAATAATTTGCTTCGTGTTAAGAATATAAACAGCTGGTACGACAATTAGCACTATCAATAGACATTACATGAGTCTTCGTATATACAGACGTGTGAACATAACTGTAGAATTTGAATTAACAATGTTAACTTCAGTTGATCTGATGATTCAAACTAATTCAGCACTTGTGAAAACATCCTTAGTTTTTAGTGTTCGTCAGATTATGACAAGAGTAAAAGTGGAAGGTAAATATAGGCGAGGAATTGAGCCGAGAAACGAGTACTTCTTTGAATTCAAACACGATTTTTGCAAGTTAATCTGAGCACATATAAACTCCAATAACACCTCTTAGATTGTTATCCGTCGCATACTCGAGTTCTTAGGACACTTCTTTCACTTAGCAGATAAGACCAGTATTACTCGGTGAGTCGGCTGTATAAACACGATATCTATAATGGCAACTCTTTGGCGATCGTTCACTGAAATGATATATATTGTAAACAGCACATTAGACGAGGGTGATAAAACAAACACTTCGTCCGCCTTAGTTCTGTAATGAATGTAATTTGTTAACTGGGTCTGTACGCGGCTGATAACCACAGCATCAACAGTTCTGAGAATGTGTTCTCACTGCGTTATCGCGAGTGCCCTCCCCAAATAACAGGCGATCACACAACCGCGGCCAGCTGGTTGAAACAGGGGGAGGGACCGGCGTTAGCGGTAGACAGGGCGGGCGCTATCAGCCGTGCCGGACTCAGCAGTATATCATGTATTTATGTAGAGCTGGGGATGTCGTCTGCTCGCCAGATGTACTGACTGATGTCCGCCTCCCCCATCGGCTCTCACCTCCCCACGAGCACGGGGACTTGACGTGGAGGCAGGAAGCCCCAAAGCGAGTCCCTTTCTTTCCCGTTTTGCTGTTCCACTATTGTTCCTCAGCAAAAACGTTTGTCGTCTGCTCAGCCTGCTGCCACCTGTTTTCATTCCGTTGCTTTCACTGACGTAATCGAAGACATCAGTTCATGAAATTTTAACAAGACTGAAACCGCTTGGGGATGTGGTGATCTACTTCCATTATGAACGCTCGACGCCAGGTTACAGATGTAGGTAGCAAGCAGGTGGCCGCACAACAAATATTTGGGGAGTGGGGAACGGCGACCATTGAGACGCAACCCCGGTGGATTCCGGAAAGATCACCACGAACGTACCCTCTGCCACCTGTTAATACAGCCTCACTCAAACTCCCAGCCACTTGAGATCTTTTACCCTCACGATAAAGTTGCTTTTTCAGATTTAAAGATTCCAATTTCCACTTTCGAACACAGGGTATTTCAGTACCAATAATTATGCCACGAAATGTCCTATAATCGACGCTAACATCACACAAAACATAGTAATCCAAAAAAACATAACAATATCACCAACAGTAAAATACTTATCACAGATTTCAACATGAAAGTGTGTATGTTCCTTCAATGCCTTCTGCGAGCTCGCCCTTCAGTCTGAATAGTTTGCGTGCACATATCCACACAGTCTGAGAACGACATATCTCCAACATCACGACAATATTCCACATCTGCCAGTCTTGTTAAAGCGAGTATGTAACTACACGCAATCCGAAGAATGGCTAATTTAGAAAGTTTTTGGTTGTATGAGTATGATGGCACTGCTTTACGGAGAGCATCGAAAGCCGCACTGATTGTGTGTACACGTGATCTCTCTCTAGCGTTTGCTTCCACCCGTCTCTCACGTGTCATATTTTTGTAATTCTTCCTCTGTTTTTTGCCCCCCTTTTCATCCGTATCCTCCTCCGAGCGACTTGATAGATCGTGTACCCCTCCAGTTCCTGTCAACAGTTCCATTTGCTCGCGTGTAAATCCGTTAGGATATGGCTCAGGTAATGTCCCCAAGGTGTAATTAGAGAATCCGGGAATTAACGGAGAAGGCGTGATTGTCTTATTGATGTAGAGATTTGGCACAATACAGTTCGCACGCACGCCTTGGAGAAAATGTACTCCAGGATTTGGGGTGTCACCCCTCCCTAGAGACGAATCATCATGGTCTTGGAGAAAGGAGGGGTCGGGCGTCTGAGGGGGGTTTTCCTGCACCCCCTCAAAATCCTCACTGCACCCCGAATCGGACATGGCACTTCCTGGGCTGTCTGGACAAAATCTTTTTATACTGAAGTCAGTCCTCTTCCTTGGCTCACTCAACTTTCGCTTATTTTTCCTCGGAGTTTCCGTGGGTGAGATATCCTTTCCCTGGGTGGGGCCGTCCGGCGAGGGTGGGATAGAACCCCGCCCTAGGGACGGGGATGAGGGGGGCTGAGGCCCGCCTGAGTACTGCTTCCCTGCCATACTGCGATCACAACTGAGCAGACTGCTTGTTCCGTGAGCCGTCGAGCGAACCTGCCTGTTCACCGCTCTGTTTACACTGTCGGCCCGCCAGCTAGTCGGCCAGATGTTAAATGTTAAAGAATTCCTTGGATGCGTGTTATTTATTGACTAATCTCATTCAGATGGCTATCTTTCATAGCGGCAATTGAGGCGGGATAAAAATAACCTTTCCGCCTGCTCGGCCGGCACTGGCTGTCAGCGGTCCACCGGGTCGGATTTGTGAGCTAGCCGCCCCTCTACAATCCTCTTACAGCCTGTAGCCCAATCTTTGCCGTTTCGTCGGACCAGATATGATTATAATATGAAAATTGGGAGGCTGGTGTTTTTATTCGACTTTTATACAGCCTCATAATACAACCCGAGCGCCAGGTGGTTGCTTACCACTATATCACACTGCTGGGCTTGTTCTAGGCCTAACTCAATATGTGATCTAATGCTTGAGTGGCGCGCCTGGTCCATTCTATTGTACGAGGGGTTGCAGGTTATGGCTTCGCCTGCTGAAACACCTGTTCGCCTGTTAATGACCTATTCAGACCTGCCTTGGCGAGCGAGATTTACGCACAGCGCTGGGACGGCAGTCTCGCACAGCCAGGAAACTTCAAGCCCTCTTACCTCCCAGCAGATAATGGCCTAATCAACAGAGACCGAGGTCTGACAATTTGCCAGATTTTCACATAACATCTGTCCAGGGGCGAATGTACTCGATGTGGCAAAGCGTCAAATATTTTAATTAAATGCGCCCCTACTTCTCAGCTGCGCGAGAAGCGGGCGACGTCATCAGTCATTGGGGAGAATCGGGACACAAACTGAAAAAACAAAGAAGTTATAAAAACGTGAAAAAATTAAGTAAACAATTGACGGGCGAAGACTGTGGCCGGTGAGAATTGTGTGTGTGCGATATGCCCGTCTGTTAGCCCAGGTGGCCTGCTCCCCCAGGCGGTGGGGGACGAGACTCAGAAGGGAAGGGTGGTGTCGGGGGAGTGTGTGAATTTACTAGGCGATTACATGTGCATTCTTCTCTTATTACATGCTGTTAAAAATCTACAGCAAGCAAGAAACGTAACTTTAAAGCAACTACAATGTGATACGTTCGGGAGCAATATTATACATAAGTACATTTTACTTACTTCCTTTTTGAAAACGAGGATTCTGTCTCTTGACAACTGACAGTTAAACAATAAGATTGGAATATTGATAAAATATTTCAGTTTTTCTAAATGCAATTAAAAGTTAAGCAACTTAAAAGTTAAGGAGCACCCTTAACATTTTTTTTTCACGTTATATGACAGATTAACTGTAGCAATATGAAAGAATCGGGCTGTCCTTAACCTTTTTATTACAGATTAGGTCATGCGAAATATGAAAATCAAAATGCTCTACCAATACAGCTATTTGGGCGTTGGGGTAGCCTAGTGGTTAAAGCGTTCGCTCGTCACGCCGAAGACCCGGGTTCGATTCCCTACATGGGTACAATGTGTGAAGCCCATTGCTGGTGTCCCCCCGTCGTGATATTGCTGGAGGATTGCTAAAAGCGGCGTAAAACACTACTCACTAACTAATACAGCTATAAGTTTGACTGATGCCCTTATCCGCCTATTCCGTCATTCATAGAGATAGACAAGATGTACATATATACCAATAAATAGAATATATACATATAATACACACTATTTTGAATTACCTTGGATCATAACACAGTCCACCAATATTCAGTCCATTCAGTCACGCTATTCTTGTTGCTGTTGTTTCTGATCCATGAATTCACTGGCCATTCCGAACGTGCATCTTGTCCATGTAAAACTGACGCAACTTAAGGTCATCATGCAAAATAACAGAGGTATTATATATCAACCATGGCATGGATCAAGTCCCCTTTTGGACTCTCTACTTCCGCAATCGACCCGTGAAGATCCGGGGTAGAATAGTTCTTCAGCAACCCATGCTTGCCGTAAGAGGCGACTAACGGGATCAGGCTCGCTGACTTGGTTGATGCATGTCATGGATCCCAATTGCGTAGATCGATGTTCATGATGTCAATCACTGGATTTTCTGGTCCAGACTCGATTACTTACAGACCGCCGTCATATAGCTGGAATATTGCTGAGTGCGGCGTTAAACAACAAACCAACCTACCAACTTCCGGAATCACTCGTAGGTATGAGAGACTAAATAAGCGATATGATTATACGGAATTATACAGTTTTGTTGGTTTGTTGTTTAACGCCACAATCAGCAATATTCCAGGGTACAACCCAGTACAAAGCAGGGTACAACCCAGTACAACCCAGGTTACAACCAAGTACAACGCAGTACAACCCAGGGTGCGGCCCAGTACAACCCAGGTTACAACCAAGTACAACGCAGTATAACCCAGGGTACAACCCTGTATAACCCAGTACAACCCAGGGTACAGCCCGGTACAACCCCGGGTTCAACCCAGTACAACGCAGTATAACCCAGGGTACAACCCTGTACAACGCAGTACAACCCAGGGTACAACCCTGTACAACCCAGTACAACCCAGGGTGCGGCCCAGTACAACCAAGGTTACAACCAAGTACAACGCAGTACAACCCAGGGTACAACCCAGTACAACCCAGGGTACAGCCCGGTACAACCCCGGGTTCAACCCAGTACAACCCAGGGCACAACCCAGTAGAACCCAGGGCACAACCCTGTACAATCCAGGGTACAACCCAGTACAACCCAGGGTACAGCCCGGTACAACCCCGGGTTCAACCCAGTACAACCCAGGGCACAACCCAGTAGAACCCAGGGCACAACCCAGTACAACCTAGGGTACAACCCAGTACAACCCAGGGCACAACCCAGAACAACCCAAGATACAACCCCGGGTACAGCCCGGTACAACCCCGGGTACAACCCAGTAGAACCCAGTACAACCCAGTACAACCTAGGGTACAACCCAGTACAACCCAGTACAACCCAGGGTACACCCCAGTAGAACCTAGGGCAACCCTGTACAATCCAGGGTACAACCCTGTACAACCCAGTACAACCCACGGTACAACCCAAGGTACAGCCCGGTACACCCCGGGTACAACCCAGTAGAACCCAGGGCACAACCCAGTACAACCAAGGGCACAACCCAGTAGAACCCAGGGCACAACCCAGTAGAACCCAGGGCACAACCCTGTACAATCCAGGGCACAACCCAGTAGAACCCAGGGCACAACCCTGTACAATCCAGGGCACAACCCTGTACAATCCAGGGCACAACCCAGTAGAACCCAGTACAACCCAAGATACAACCCCGGGTACAACCCAGTACAACCCAGGGCACAACCCTGTACAACCAAGGGTACAACCCTGTACAGCCCAGTACAACCCAAGATACAACCCAGGGTACAGCCCGGTACAACCCCGGGTACAACCCAGTACAACCTAGGGTACAACCCAGTACAACCTAGGGTACAACCCAGTACAACCCAGGGTACAACCCAGAACAACCCAAGATACAACCCCGGGTACAGCCCGGTACAACCCCGGGTACAACCCAGTACAACCCAGTACAACCCAGTACAACCTAGGGTACAACCCAGTACAACCCAGTACAACCCAGGGTACACCCCAGTAGAACCTAGGGCACAACCCTGTACAATCCAGGGTACAACCCTGTACAACCCAGTACAACCCACGGTACAACCCAAGGTACAGCCCGGTACACCCCGGGTACAACCCAGTAGAACCCAGGGCACAACCCAGTACAACCAAGGGCACAACCCAGTAGAACCCAGGGCACAACCCTGTACAATCCAGGGCACAACCCAGTAGAACCCAGTACAACCCAAGATACAACCCCGGGTACAACCCAGTACAACCCAGGGCACAACCCTGTACAACCAAGGGTACAACCCTGTACAGCCCAGTACAACCCAAGATACAACCCAGGGTACAGCCCGGTACAACCCCGGGTACAACCCAGTAGAACCCAGGGCACAACCCAATACAATCCAGGGCACAACCCTGTCAGGAATCTGCGATCCATGGATGAACCTAATCTCCCTGTTCCAAGTGGAATCTCAAGACAAATACAAAGGGTTTTTTACATATACTGTGGCCCTTCGCTGTGGAACTCTCTCCCAATTAAACTCAAGAACTCTCCTCAAGTCTAAGCTTCAAACTCATCTGTCACAAATACTACCGATACCATATTCATCATGTTCGAAGCACTTCGTGGATGGAAGATAGCGCCTAGGAAATGCACTTCTTTTTATTCTTATTCATTTTTATAGTAATATTAGAAAACACACGATAGATGGTATGATAGTCTGGGTACGGGTGTCCCTTCATACAAAGGCGACACAACTCGCTGTGCACATTTGCATCCCTTGGTCACGCCAGGATCAGCTGGTCGTGAGTTTCAGATTCTGTCAGCGTTAAACACAACCCAATCATTCAAACTAGCCGTAGCGCTCACTGCGCTTTATGCAAGCAGACGCGGTTTGGGTAACTCCTCCGTTCAATCGCTCAAATCCTCTACAGGTTATATCTCACTTACCCGTATGTCCCTTTGCCAAAGTCGCCAAACTACCTGTATTACGTCTTTCTTCATATGACAACGAATGTATAATGTGCATTGTGATAGGCACATAGGGCGCACGTCACATCCCCGAGGAAAGTCGCGACAAACGTCTCCAACACTGTAAGCAAACTGTTGGATCGCTTCCCGGTAAAATATTAATCCGAGACAAACAAACTCATATATAGACAACTTTCCCAGTGTAAGATAACCCCCCAAAAAATAACAACAACAAGAAAACAACATTCACTATCCCTCGCCATTGGGCACATTAAAATTATGTTCGTCCATATAGTAGTGAATAGCATGGACGTTAATGTTAACTATAAAAACAAAGAGTCCTGTATATCCTTAAAAAGATATGGGCAATACAGTGGCTTTATGTGATGAAACAATCTGATTTTCGAAATCAGCCTTGATAAGTTTCTTTCGGATAAGCTTGCACAATTTCACTCATGTAACTTCTGTAGTTTCTGAGAACATTCTCCTCATTGCAGATCCCAAGCACTAAATAAAAAAATAAAAATAACAAGGGATGTTTCTCTGGAACATGATAATGTATGGCACCAATTTTCGAACTCAGTCTCGATGGATAAGCTTGCAAAGTTTCCTTCATGTAAATGCTGTAGTTTCTGAGAAAACTTGTCCAGATTTCACGCAGTTTGCACAAAGATGAAAAGTATGGAGCAAGGGCCATAACTCTGTGAAAAATTATTTTAAGACACCAATTTTCGAACTCATTTAAGATCGTGACCAGTAACATCAGTGAGTAAAATTCCATCTCATATAGGTTTTGAGAAGAATTGTCCCCCTGAGAAGCGGACGGACGGACGGACGAACAACTTTTCCC